CTTTGATCTACCCAAAAAGCACAATTTCCTAATTAGCCACCAATGAATTTATCAAATCCATATTTATATATAGAAAGAAAAAAAAAAAGGTATTCTGAGCATAAGGCCATGTTTCTCATTTTTTTTTTTAATTCTGGTTCATTCTAAGCAAGAGTGGCCAATAATGAATAACATTAGAGCGTTTGGTTACAAAATTCTTACCATGAGTCACATTCTTTCTAGAATGAAAAATCAACCCCATAGCACAAAAATTGAGTAGCCTGCAGCATGAAAAATAATCATGCCCCATATTGCTCATTTTCATTCTTAGGAAACTCTGCTTACAAAACTACCACCATAGATATTTACTTTTGTAAAAGCACTTTTACAAAAGTACTTTTATGAAAGCACTTTTACAAAAGTACTTTTATGAAAGCACTTTTATAAAAGTACTTTTATATTAAAGTATTTTTACAAAAGCATTTTTATAAAAGTAAATTTATGAAAGTACTTTTGCGAAAATAAAGTACTTTTACATTAAAGCACTTTTCTGAAAGCATATTTATAAAAAAAAAATACTTTTATAAAAAGTACTTATATGAAAGTACTTTATATAAAAGTGCTTTTATGAAGGTACTTTTATAAAAACACTTTTACGGTAGTACTTTTATGAAAGCACTTAAATAAAAGCACTTTTATGAAAGCACTTTATATAAAGTACTTTTACTAAAGCACTTCTACGAAAGTACTTTTATGAAAGCATTCATACAAAAGTACTTTTATAAAAGCATTTTTATGGTAGTATTTTTACGAAAGTACTTTTTATTAAAGCACTTTTATGGAAGTAATTTTATAAAAGGACCTTACGAAAGTACTTTTACAAAACATCTATGCCAACAATTTTGGAGACCTAGGCTGGCGGTTTATGAATACTGACACAATTTTTTTTTTTTTTTGAGGCTCTATTTGGAAGGAGTACAAATACAAATATGTAGTGTACAAAACCTTGCATTTTGTATGTATTTGCACAGTACATAATTGTATTTGTTCTCCTTCCATAGCCTGAAGAATGAAAATGAGCAGTATAGGACACTTGTCAATCTGAAAAGAATCTGTTTAAGGGAAAAATGTGTTTGGTTCATAGCAATATTTTGTCATTATGCCTATTTTTCCTATTCTTGTCCATTTTAGAATTTCATCTTCGATAAGAATGAGAAAGAACGAGAATTGAACCAAACATGACCATGTTTGGTTTGAAGGAAAAGGTAGGAAAAGAAAGGAAAAGGTGGAAAAACCTTTACAAATCTTGTATTGGTTTCCTTACTTCTCCCTTCCTTTTCCTTCAATCCAAACATAGCCTAAACATCCCTCTTTTAGCGTGTTGGTTCTATCTCTGAAACTGAAAAACCTACATATGCTTAATTAATAAGTTATTGGGTCACCATTCATCAACTTATTAATGGTGCAGAGATAATTATTTAATTCCTTTACTCCAGAACTTTTGTAATGACAAGAATACCTCTCGTACTCATATTTAAATATATAGAAGAAACTGCAGTGTCCACTCTGATCAGCAACTCAAATATGATGGTTCACCAGACTGCAGAAACAAATTCGATCTTCAGAGTACATTAAAAAATAAGCTCTAGCTCTCATCCCAACAAGATCTAATTAGACTATAGAGGCATATCAGACTGCTTCTTCTTCTTCTTCCAAATACGATCTCACCCGTCTTGATAAAAGAGAATGAGGAAATGAATTTACCACAGGGATTTTGGGAATTGACCCAGTATACCTCATTATTTACATCACGCAACACATGCATTAACTTTGTGAATAGATGTTTTGCTGTTCCTTTTTTTGTCCAGACTGGTGATGAGACCATGAATATGACATGGGAAATCTTTCTGCATGCATGGCTGTCTTTTTGACTATACATTCATAATATTGGCTGGCATGGCCTTGGATCAAATGATTTCCCTGGAAATGTGGGATATTTTGAAGCTCTGGGATATAATTCTGGGTGAAGTGTCTCGTATATTTGATAGGAGCAAGTGATGGAAGCCAAATTCACCAGAGTTTTAATAGCTTCCCTCTAGTCCTCTTGGCTTAAACGCCTATAATATTTAAGATTATGTTTGGTTTTGGTGGGTGTTTATTGTAAAAATACCATTACATCAGTGCCACATAGGTGTCTGTGTTTATTATATATGAAATCATTGTTTGGTTTCACCATTTATTAAATAAACATTAAAAAATTTAAACGCTTTGGTTTGTGCGCATAGGGTATTTGGGGAAATATCAATTTCTCATTTCCCCCAAAGACATTTCTTGAAATTAAATGCTGATGTGGTGCATTTTAAGCTGAGGTGGAAAGCAACTTTATGGGGTGTCACTTAATCTAATAAACACTCTCAATAAACGCCCACCAAACCAAATACATACTAAATAACCTCCAAATTTCTCAATAACCCACTATCATAGTCAGTTCCTCTGCTACTAGCTTGTTTCAACTTTGATTCTTTTCCTGTATTGAGAATAAATTTTTTTTATCATTATTTTTGTAAAAAACCCTACAGAAAAATTAACTCCATTATAGAAGAAGAAGAAGAAAAACTAGTCAACCAGAATATATCATAATAGATAGCTAGAGATGTATTAATGTAATTCCACCATGCATGAGTCATCATCTTCATCATCATCTAAGCTTTGCCCCAACTCCTCTTACAATATCAAATAAATGGGGAGCCTTTTTAGTGTTAGGTTAATTACTTGGATGGTCAATCTCATCACAAGCATTAATTTGAATCTACTTTTATATCACTTTACAACACTGTATCCGGCCTTAAGCATGCAAAATTTATATTAATAATAGAAGGAAGACAATTGGCTTAATTTTCTTAAGTGACAAACTAATGTAGTGGGTTGGGAGCCATAATTCGCTACAGATGATCAATATCCCTCTGAATAAGGTTTTGGGAACCGAGAGTCCAAACTTGAATAGTTGAATTAGACTGGTGGTACTACGCTCAACAGTTGTTTCTTTAAATTCCTTTTGCTTTAGTGAGATGGGGAAATTGTAAAAAGCATTGAATGCTTAAACTGTAATCTTCTGATCCACGTTATAAAGGTAAGCCAAGCTAAGCGAGTAAAGCCTAGATTGATGGTGCAATCATTCTTCTGGCTAGCAATCATCCAAAATGTCTCCAGTCTCTAAGTTTTTCCCTTTGACTCTGTGTGTGTGTGTGAGTGATTGTGATTGTGAGTTTTAGCGTAGCTAGGGGCCAACAGAAAGTGATTTGGGTGGTAAAGGTTGCAGCTAGCAATACGTTTATGGTCTCATGTACTTGATGTAAATTTTAACCCACGTATTTGCTTCTTTCCCAATCTCTAAAAAGCCAAGGGACAAACAGCTGTATGCCTATAAGTCATCGCTTTCTTTGCCGGCTTCCCGGCTGAAACTTGCTTTCAATCACTGGGCTTATATTTGGCTTTCACTTTCTCACTTAAATGGGAGCTCCCCACCTTCCCTCCATTTGTTATTTATTTCTGTAGAGACATCTCTAGGTACTATGCTCCAACAGTTCTATCATGTCCACGTACTAAATGCAACACAAGCAAGATGAGATAGACCCTCAAGGCTCAACCCACGAGTACTGGTGCTTAGTATATAACATTGTTATATATTGATCTTCTCATCAATTAACCAAACTTTGTTGATTAGAAGAGAGATCCATCACACTAATAAGATCAGCATTAATCTCAAAACTTTATAAAATGCTTTAAACAAGATAGAGATGATCATGAATTTTATGTAAGGTAATTAATTAGAATTATATATCACACATCTATCATCAGTTGGTTGATTACCTAGGGAGAAAAAAAGAAAGAAACCAATATGCCCATTTTAAGATGAATATATAACAATAAATGATGCCTGCTTCCTTGATAAAGAAAATTAAGCTGTTGATTGATATTTGAGATAGGCCAATGAGTTTGTAAGGGGATGATTAATTAACAAGTTACACTGCTTACTTTCATGATGCGTGGATCAGAGTCCAGAGAGAGATCATCAGGATCATATATATATATATATGAATCATCACCCAATAATCATCATTGATGGAAGGATCCAAAATGGGTTTTAAGTAGTAAATCATAGTGTTTTATTTAATGGGGTTGCAGCAACAATATCATTAATAAAGATAGACCCACAAAGCATAGCTGCTTTCCTCAATCAATCACCCCCCCCCCCNCCCCCCCCTACATCAATTAACCAGTTGCCTGAAGGGAAGACATGAATGAAAACATGGTTGTATATATAGGAATTACAGTCGTAGCCAGTACATAATGTATACCAGAAAAGGCATCTCAAGAACCGTAATAAATGTGGTTATTGGTTGTTAGTGAAATCTTGAAAACACAAATGTTTCTGTTATAACATAACACAGCATGCACTTGAACTACTGAAGCCGAGGCTGAGCTGTTGTAATTATAAACTCCAAATGGGAAGAGCCAGAAGGCCGCAGGAGGGAAGTGGGTGACGGCAGGAGCAGTAATCGATCTGGATGTGCATATATGGAGTGTGAACAGTGGTAGATGTATAAGACAATGAAGATGAGAGTGAGATTGGGACAGTCTCTCAGCTCGTACTGAGCCGAGCCGACCAAAGCCCGCCAACCGAAGCAAATGCCGGCATGGAGTGAAACTACATGCTTCCTGAGCAAGAGAAAGTAAAGGGAGAGGAGAAACAAAAGGCCAACTCTTGTATATGTATGTCTGTAGTTGTACCCACTCTCTCTCTCTCTCGCTCTCTCTCTCTCTGATGAGTCTTAGGCATACAACACATTCGTGTGGGGTGGGAGACAAATTCCAACCCTAATCTCTGACTTTCTCTTTTTCTCTTTTTCTGAATTTTCATTTTTTTCTTCTTACATACTTGTTTTTTTTTTTTTTTAATTTTTCCCCTTCTGTTCTTGGGTTGGTGTGGGTATTTTTTTTCCTTTTCACACAGTCTCCAACAAGGAGCTTGTTCTTTCAAGTCCCAAGATTATCTCATTCTCTCACTAGCCGATCCCTCCCTCTCTCTCTCTCACTACTTTTTTATTAAATCCCAGAAACAGGTGATTTCTTCTCATTTATATATCAATATTTTATTATTGTTGTTTTAAAATTCTCTCCAGTGTCTTCTCCTAAACTTCTTTATTTTACCATCTACTCTTTAGAACTCTCTCTCTCTCTCTCTCTCTTTATAATAACCTAACCCATCTACCCAAATTCTCTCCTCACCTTTCACCATGGCCGACCCCTACTCTAATTTCTTCAATGGTTGGTTCAACTTCAACCCTCTTCTTCACCACTTTTCTTCCTCCACATCCTCTTCCAACCCATCTCATCATATTCCTTACGCCTACAACTACTACCCCAATAATCTAATCAGCAGCAGCAGCAGCAACAACACCTTTGTTCACTATCAGTCGCCGCCTCCTTCTCCTCCCCTCAGGGAAGCTCTTCCCCTCCTTAGCTTAAGTCCATCTAGACATGTAGAAGAAGAAGAAGAGCCCTCCTGCAGCGCCATGGATGAGGACAAGAACAAGACGAAAGATGAGAGTTTTTCTAGTACTGCTGACGACGAAACCGTGACTGTTGCCCTACATATTGGGCTCCCCAGCCCTAGTGCTGCTGATCTGATCTCTAGGGTCTCTTCCTCTACAGAAATGACAGACAGGGAAGAAGTTACTGTTGCTTCAGGATTCACAACGACCAGACTCAACAAGGGTCAATACTGGATCCCTACCCCTTCTCAGATACTCATTGGTCCTACACAGTTCTCATGCCCTGTTTGCGGCAAGACCTTCAATAGATACAATAACATGCAGGTATTTTTCATGACATGAACCACGATTCAGGAACATTCCTTTCCTTTCTTCTCCTTTAGGTTCCTCTTTATAATTTATTAAAAAAGAGGAAAAAAATCCCATCTCTCATCTTCATCTTCATCTTCTTCATCTTCTAATTGTATCTTTATACTCACTGGTATATTTTTACTTTTGTTTAAGCTTGCATGGTTTATGAGTCTTGGGATTTGAATATATACACATTTGGCTCAGATCAGTGTCTTCTTTATGTGATTGACCTACACATGCAATTTATTCTTTGGGTACTTCGAAGTTTGTGTTCCACACAACATACAATGGCACGCGTATAAAACTGAAAATTTGTTTTTCCAGGGTTCAGATGATCTTCGTCAAAGAACAGAACTTCCCAATCTGCACACTCCAGTCTGTAATAAACCAACCCACATGCATGAAAAAACCCTTACATAGGAATAGGATAGCTCCTTTCGTTGATCCAATACCAACTTATGACAGCTTCGGAGTTCATTAATTTTTCTTACTTGAGCACCTGGTCTCTCTCTTTCTTTTTAAAACTTGACACAACCTTTCACTTAAGTCCAATTATCAAATATTTCGTGGTTAAGGATATGTTATCTCCTTCTCCTTCTCCTTCAAGTTTGAGAGAGAGAGAGAGAGGACCCGGTTTTAAGGATGCATTCTTTTGTTTCTGTGATGTTCAGATACCTACATGATTTAGATGATAAATGCTGTTTCGTATCCAGTAAGATAGCAAATTCCAGAATCCGTCGTGGTTTGAACAAGCAAACAATACATATCCTTAAAGTCTCCTAAAGGAAAGATTAGAATTGGAGCAGAAAGTTCAACTTTGATCCACTAGATAACATTTTTTTTGTGTAGTTTTCTCGAATTCTGAGCGATAGTGGGTTTTGAATTTGTAGTTTTTGATTCGTTTTGTTCCCTCCCCCAACTCTTAGTGGAGATAGCTAGACTTAGTATCTGGGTGTTCTTATTTGCAGATGCATATGTGGGGGCATGGATCTCAGTATAGAAAAGGGCCCGAGTCGCTAAGGGGCACCCAGCCTACAGCCATGCTGAGGCTGCCTTGCTATTGCTGTGCACCAGGGTGCAGGAACAATATCGATCACCCAAGAGCCAAACCACTCAAGGATTTCAGAACCCTGCAGACCCATTACAAGAGAAAGCATGGAATCAAGCCTTTCATGTGCAGAAAATGTGGGAAGGCCTTTGCAGTGAGGGGTGACTGGAGAACCCACGAGAAGAACTGTGGGAAGCTGTGGTACTGCATTTGTGGGTCTGATTTCAAGCACAAGAGATCTCTCAAGGACCATATCAAGGCCTTTGGGCATGGCCACGCAGCTTACGGCATTGACTGCTTTGAAGAAGAAGATGAACCTGCGTCAGAAATCGAACAAGATGATGAATCCTCACAGTGATACTCAGATGACGAAGGTCTATAAGGTTAATTATAAGTGATTAAGTATTTCGTCTTGTGAGCTAGCTGGTACTCGGCCTAGACAGTTTTTTCTCTGAGTAAGAACAGATTAATTAACGTCTAAATTACTTGTGAGAGCTGTTTTTCTTTCCCTTTTTTTCCTTCTTTTGTTACTAATTAATCCTAGTATCAGATAGACAAATACGTACATCAATGTAAGCCCAAGTTCCTGTAAATCCATTATTTGGTTTAGCTTTCATGTATATGGTTTTCATTGTTCATCCCTTTCTGCTTTTAAGGTGTCCCATGGACATCATGGTTCTAAGGAAAGATCGGTTAATTGCATAACAAAAACTCATTAGTTTTGCACTCTTAAAGGGAGAGTATCTCAGTTGAACTCATTGTTAGTTAAAAACTGCAGAACAAATTGAAGCTCAGCAGCACTTGAAGGCCCATCTAGCTAAAGCTAGAAATCAAAGAAGGAAATTCCTTATAACAAAGAACCTCTTAAGTCATTAAATTACCAGTCTTTCTCATGTATTACATCCACACAAAGTCACAGAACCATAGTAGAGACAGAGTACATACGTACAAAGTACAAACATCTATGCTTCTAACAAAGAACGGGTCCCCTCTGGATGATGTCTCAAAAATAAACCGATCTCTTCTGCTTTTGGGGATGAGAGTGCATGGATTATCCATTTGGATGTTCTCATCAGCAACTTTTGTCTGCAATTATTTCATTTTTTTTCTTCTGAAACAAAATCTTTATATGGGTTTTCAGCATCACACTGGTCCTGGAATCCACAAGTTGGTAAGGTACAAGCTCCTGGATACTGGATAGCAAAGGCGAGTGAGGATATAGTTGGTCCCAAATGAAGTTGGGGAGGCTTTTCAACCTGCAAATGCATCAGCTTTTTAGGTGCATATGATGCCCTTCGCTTTGGGTAGTGGAGAGATGTGTTTGCTGATGGATGGAACTTATACCATGTGAGATTCACTGCCTCTTGGAAATTCAAATTAAATGATTAGCTTGGAGGGTTGTGTGGGGAGAGAGAGAGAGAATGTTTGATTTGCATGATAATAAAGCTGAAGTTTAGGGTTTGTGATTAATCATGTTAGTACCAAACTAGGTACAGATCTCTATGGTGACCGGAGGATATCACAATCTACCACGTCATCCTGGTAATGTCGACTCACGTGCACCTGGCTGAGGTGGTGTATCTTGATTGGACCAGTATTAGCTAGGTGTAGAACTTTAGATGACCAGAACGTACTCCCAAACTATACCCAGTAATATAAGATACTAATAAGGTTGAAGGGGAATGAAACTGATATTGGTGGCAGATTAGTTTAAATGTTGGAGAGAGAGAGAGAGAGAGAGTTAAACAGTGTGGAGCCAATCTTCCATTGGTTGGGGTTATTTGCGACACACTACTGACAACTCCGCATAGTACATACATAACCTACTATGGATGTATTGTAGTTTGAAATGACATTTCAATAGACCTTTGACTGATCTCTCTCTCTTCTGGTGTAGCACCTTTGCGTTTTCACTTTCTAACGAGGTAAGTATGGCAGTCTTTAATTGTTACTGGTGATGCTGTACCATAAATCTCTTTAAAACAACAGTCAATATTAATGATGAATGTGATGATAATTATGGTCTCTACARATCAACCATTATTATATTTAGTTGTATTGCCTTTGACAACATTGGATTGAATTGGGTTGAATGATACATAAAAGCCTATTTCCCACTATTTGCTTTTGCATAAACATCATACTAACCAGTACTGAAAAATAAATATATATTCAACTTACTGCTGCTGTTAGCCCATATACAGTACTGAGAAACCAAACTACAGATTATTCTAGTGTGAATTTACTCCTAGCTCACTAATGAAAACACTTCAGCTACTACTATCATGATTATCCTTAGTTGTAGTATAATTACCTTCATTTTAATTTCTCTCTCTCTCAGAATATATATTGTTAATGTTAACATGATATGATTATTCTATCATCAAAGGTATGTCCTTGCATAATTTTGTATTTTATATTATCTCCTTTAATTTTCTGGAAGGAATTACATAGGATACACAAATACCTGCATATAAAAGGGAATTCCATCCTTATTTTACTTTAATTTTGTATATATATAATAAGAGATTGAAATGGCTGTGTTACTCCAACCATTTCTTTACAACGAGATTGGTCACATGCTGACAGTAGAATTCATTGTCTCCAGTACTCAACARCAAGCAATTTGGTTGCAGCTAATCCTCTACTTAAAATCCCAAGACCCTTCTCTCTTTCTTTTAAGGTTTAGAAATTATATGTATTGCAATTTTTTGGCCTTTCTAAGGAGACCACTCCCTTCTATTGGCATTTCAACACAAGGAGACAATTTTCATGGTGTTTGGAAGCGTGGACGCTTCTTGGGACTAATTTTCAAGAAAAAACATTCATGCTTTCAAGACCCGTTTTTCATAAAAAAATGTTTTTGCCACATGGGCAGTGAGCAAYATTATGCTGTTTGGTAAGATAATTTTCATCACTGTTTTTCATGTATGTACTGATAGGTAAGCATCATCAGTCAACAGTTGGGGGAAACGGCGTTTCATGCATCGATGAGGTCCCGATTTTCGAGGCATACCCAATTTTTTAATAATCAACTAAATCAAACAATGAGATGCATGGACATTTGTTGAAACGCCTATATGAATCTGACGTGACACCGTTTTCTTGAAAAACAACCACAGTTCCAAACATCCCTTTTTGTCTCCTTGGGCTAGAATCACAAGTCTTACCCAGATTATTTCTCATCTCAAAACAAACTATAGATTGAAATTTACAATTGAATTCCACCACAAAATATGATGAGATATATATTTGTATAGGTACTCAAAATGTCAACTTTCGTTTTCTGGTAAACTTGCCATTTGTTTGATAGAACCCCAAATAGGAAAAGGAAAAAAAGAAAAGGTAAAGGCAAGATAATATTGATCCATGATCAACCTTTTGAAGAACAAAGAATAAATAAACAATTAAGATAAAAAAAAAGAATTGAAAACAAAATCCTTCTTTTCGGACTATCCTTAGAGATTACTTTATTTTGTTTTTTTTTTTATCATCATCGTCTTCGTCATCCTCATCATCCATGCAATATATATGCTTGGTTTGATCCATTCTCTTCTACTAAAGTTGTCTCGCTTTGGATGTATTGGCGATTCTCCAAGTTGTAAGTATTGGGTGATCACTTTGTCAAGGGAATATATAGAGTCTTCAAACAGAAGAAAGATAAATGAATGTGAGAGAGAGAGAGAAGGCTTTTCTGGAGTCAGGACTGAAGAGAAAAAGCTACATTTGACGTTCTTGGCCATGATTCTAGCAACTAGAAAGATCCATTTATTCTGAGAAACAAATACAAGATCTAGTTGCAAGAGATACTACTTAAACAAAGAAAAACAAAACACCCAAATCAAAAGTTGTAAGAAACCCATCTCCAAACACCCTAGCTTAAACCAAACCCACATATTCATACCTTAAAAGAAGTACTACACGAGGAAATTGCCAAGATCTCATAGCTTTGGCACTTTTTCTGATGTCTGAACCTTTGCTTTTCATCTCTTTTCAACAAGAAAACCTTTTAAATTTTTTTATACTTTGTATTGGGGTATGTTTAGATGCATCTAATCTGTAATTCAATATACTTACGAGATAACCTAGTGTTAGTAAAGACCCACTTTTCTTGTTTCTCCTCGTATATATTTTCTTCGTGAAAGAACAACAGCTACCTTTTATGTGATGCACCTTTTTTCTTTCTTCTTCTTATTTGTTCAGCTTTAAATAGGAAAAAAAAACAGAAGAAATACTCTAAAATCTGTTTGTTTTGCTTTATCCAATCCAAATTTCAGTGAGGGAAAGACATGGATGGCCCACCAAATCCTGTCTTCCCATCCGTTCGATCATCAATAACATGGTCCATTTGCCTATGTGTACCAGTGGGACCCATAACTTCTCTCTAGGATAAATCACCCTCTACGTAGGATATCAAGCACTGGATCGATCATCAACCAACATTTGCCAAAAGAAGCAATTTGTCCTTCTTAGTGGCCATTATTCCTTTTATTTTCTTTATGCAAAAAAACTTACCCAAAAGAAAGCAGTCCAGTGTGACCTGGGGTCATGCATTCATCAAACATCGGCCCCACCCATTGAATGGTCTTGATCGCTGTGTTAGTGGGCCGTCTGAGCATTATGGTCAGTAGGGTCCAGTAAGAGATGGCCTCAGCTTCATCATGACTTTTTGAAAAATAATCAAATAAAGATTAAAGAGAAAAGAGCTTTAAGGAAAGAGCTTCTTCACCAGCTTCCTCGAAGGATCCTCTCTGCATTAATTCTTCTCATATAAACTGAGTTGGAAAAGGAGGAAAAAACGGGGCATAATTTGAAAACGAAATGCCACTACAAATTCTTCTTTAGGAATAATCTATGTACTGTTAACCTATTATAAAGCTAGGAAAGGATTTTCTTTTTTTCTTTTTTGTTTTTGCTTTTATGTTTTTCAATCTGCACTGTTTTTACTACTGTAATACTAATGATTTTATCTTTCCTGCTTTTAGAAAATGCCCAATCAGAAAATAAACCATAAAACATTCTTCTATGTGTGTATTTTCTCAAAACAATGTGAAACCATTTTCAGTTTGATTTGAAAAGAAAATAGATAGCCTTGTTTTTTGAAAACCAAAAAAAAAAAAAAACAAGGATTTAAACATGCTTGTGAAATAAAAAAGTCCAAGAATGCATTCATGGTTTCACTTCACCTTTAGGGCAAAAAAAATCCAACTAAAGAAAAGGTTTATTTGTTTTTGTTTTAAGAAAAACAACTGTTTGTGGGGTCCAATTTTTCTTGAAATAACAACAAAAGACAAACAATTCACATTGGAGAACACCCCCCAACTCTCTCTCTCTCATTCACACTTTTAACTTTTTAATTCTATGTATACTTTTGCCATAGAAATGATATATAAAAAATAACAGATAAATCCTTCACCATGGAAAAGTTATAAAGTGTAGGCAAATTAGCTCTTTTTTTTATTTAGAATTCTGTCAAAGAAAAGGAAGAGATAATTAACAATTATTTTTAGCAAGAAATCAAATAGGTAAAAGAGTATTCACGGGAGTGGTTGGGCAAAACATGATAGATCTAAAGGCTAATTACCAAAGGCATGGTGTCTTCATTAAACTTAAATA